AGCTGCCAAGGAAACCCCAACTCACCTTCCAGACCAGCACTGGCTTTGGTATTTTGGGAACACAAGCCTGGCAAGCTCAGCTCAGGCTGTGTTTGCCTGGAAATCTTCATGACAATACCCCTGTACTTCCATCTTTGCAGAGCACACAATGTGTGGGGTTCAGTTCCCCCTCGGTTTTTCCCACTGCTCCTCTGCTCCTGCCAACACAGAATCCTAGAATGGTTTGGCTTGGAAGGGACCTTGAAGATCATCCAGTTCCAACCCTCCTGCCGTGGCAAAATTGAAAAAACCATGAGTACAAGCCACTTGCTGCCCCCCTCATTTTTGCCTGTTATTCAGAGGCACAAGGTTACTCCAGTGAGTCACCCAAAGTATTTCAGCTTTTAACTCTGTTCTCCAGCATTTGCAACATTACACACCCAACCCAGGGTCCATGTGAGCAGGTGCTGCAGCCTAAAATATGTTGCTCATTGTAGGCTTGCAGAACTGATGAGCTACATCAAAAGATAAATGTTTAATAATGAACCCAGGAAGGTTGTTGGAAGGACATGAATGCAGCTACATGATGGGAAGAGAAATGGCTCATCCCTGCCCCTGCCAGTGTCTCCTGACATCACAAATGTTCTCCTGAAAGTCTATTTATGCAGCTCCTTTTTAGCTCTCCCTCAGTGATTAAACACACTGAGGTTTGCCACGAGGCTGACAGGGAAGGGACAAGCTCAGAGGACACGACAGGAGCACCTCAGGATGTTGCAGTCACAGCTCTGCTTTGTTAGATCTGACATGCAGGTTTTTAAACTGCTTTCACTGCTTCCCTGATGAGTTTTTCCTTCTTACCTCAGCCCCTGGCTATGCAGGGTAGCTGCATTAGCAGAGTGAGATGATCCTGTCAGAGTGGCTCATTCTTTTACCTCAGTGGGAGATTTCTGTCCTTTTTAAGGGAATTAGAATTATTTCAATAATTCTGGTTTCTTTTTGCATGATTAATTCCAAACATCAGAGGCTGACCTCTGTCTTTTGCCTGTCTTGCCATAAGTTTCCTTATTTTTGCTGACACCATTTTTCTGTTCAAGATAGAGATTCTTCTCTGTCTTCCCTCTCTCTCCTCTCTCTCCTCTCTCTCTCTTCTCCTTTTCCATCTTATTTTTCTCTTTTTTTCCCCCTTTTTGTTCCTGTTTGATGTGTGAGCATTGCCTGACACTCAAGAATTTCCTGGGTTTTTTTTCACCTGGCTGTAGCTTATCTGCTGTGTGCCCCAGGATAGGAGAGATGCTCTTAAGGACCATGAGGGGTTTAGGACTGGGTGTTTAAACAGTGCCCAACCACTGGCAGCTTAGGCTGTTACTGAACAGCAGAAATGACCAGGTTCCTCATCACAGGCTCTTTCTCTGTTCAATATAATAGAAAATAGAAAATAAAAGTCTCTCTATCACAGTGTTTTCTATCAGAAGTAACTTCCCATGTATTTATCGAGATACAGAGGTACTTTATCATCTGTGTAGTGAAACTCCTGCACTTTTGAACAAGTATGTTAAGGAAAAAATGAGAGCTGTGAAGTGCTTTCCCACAATGCATATACATGCTGAGTTACCAGAAAGAGCTGTCATCCATCAAATTAGATGGCAACATGGAAAAGTTATTGCTCAACGTGGTATCCACAGCAGCCTCACTGTTTCTCTGTGTAAAACAGTGCCTCTGGGCCCTTTCAATTCCCACTGAAGGCTTTTAGAGCCTTTTTTTCCATATGACAGAAAAAATATTCATCTCTATCATTTAATTCCCCGTGGCACAGGACAGGGGTTTTTGGAGGTGTCTTTCCTGAGTGTTTCAGTGCCTCTCAAAAATGCTGCTTTGGCAGCTTCATTATTAGGGCTGGCTCTTCAGACTGATGTGTGATTTTATCATATTTTTTTCTTTAGCTTTTTTTTTTAAACTTAAAAAGCTGTGTGACTGATAGGCTGGAGGGAAGCACAATTTCCTTCCTAAACCAGAGGTATAAGGAAAAACCAGTGCCATCTACTGGGGTCCCAGTGCCACGGGACCAGAACAGCTCCCACTGTGGTTTCTGAATGCAGAAGTACTGGAAAACATTTTACTTGAGCTCCCAGCTCCTGATGCATTACCTTTATCAGCTTGGAGGGGACTGGCTCTGCCCGTGAGATAAAGCACTTAAGGCTTTTAAAAGGCTGGTTTTGGAGCCAGAAAATGCCCTCCCTGCCAGGGCTTCCATTTCAATCAGAGACATCTTGCCCTTCTGCACAGCCCTGCTCACACCACTCTTGCTGCAACGCTTTCTGCCTCTCTCATCTTCTGGGGGGCAGCACAGGAGCATCCACAGTTTGTCCCTAAAAGCCTCCCAGCCTCATTTTCCAGTCCTGAAGAAAAGCAAAGAGTGTTTAATGGGAACACTGAAAAAGCACCGCAGCGTTCAGCCCTCTGAAATTCAATATCACTCCCCTTTCCCCATTTTTCATCACCCTTTGAAGGATTCTTCCTCGAAGCTTTTGTCTCCAGCTCTGCTCCTCTCCAGAAGAGAGGAAGTCAAATGGCTCTGCAACATCTCTGAGGAGATCTAAGATCAGTGTCTGAGCTGTTGATGGGGACAGGGCTGGCAGTGGCCAGGGGTCACTGTGTGTTTCATTGATGTCTGAGAGAGCAAACATAATGAAAACCTGCCCTGCTTGCTGTAAGCAAACAACAGATCAAAACTCATCCGTGCTCTGATCTTCCTTATCTTCTTTTCCCCTGGTTTTTGTGATAGTCAGAGGGAGATGAACACCATCAAGGCTCCATGCCTGCTGCCCGTCTTTATTGCCTCGCACAAAATAAATTGTTCCACTGAACTGCGTTTTATGGTGATTCCTTCTCAATTTTCCTGTATTTGTATTTTCATTGTAGCTGTTCCCAGACAAAGGGAAAAAAATGAACAGATTAAAATGTCTGATGAATTCTCTGAAATGCCAGACCAGCCGAAGTCTTTGACTGTCTCATTGCCAAGGACAACTGAGCTCCTTTGTCTGAAACAATTCTCATAATGCAATGAACAGTTGCAAGAGGAGGAAGCCTGGATGTTTCTTGGGCCCTTCATCTCAGAAGTCTGCACAATTACTGGTGTAATTCTCCTTTCCATGAGTTGCTACAATTGTTGTTGAATTCATCACATCTGAAAATAAAATCTACGGAAAGGATAAATTCCCTGTTGAATTTTCTTCCACTTCGTCCTTCTGTCCATTACCCAGGAAGATAAAGAGCCCAAGCAGCCTTAGCACAAACACTGGACATTAGGAAATGCCTCCTTGTGGTACTGCTGTCATCACCTCCACGGGAAACTTTAAATGCTCAGAAGGACTACAACTCATTATTTATAATTACCTTTTTTTGACAGTTTTCTTATTTTTGAAAGCAACTTAAAAGAAAGCACATTAAAATGGGGGGAAAAAAAATCCAAATACAAAGGAGGTCAAAATGTCTTGGTTCTGGTTGACTTTACCACTGAATAAGTCTTATAGGCTTTTTTTTATTTCTCTTTTTGAGAAATGTAGACCCCAAAGCCCAATTCATCAGAAGAAGCACATTTTAAATAGCTGCTAATGCGCTATTAATGAAGGAAAAGTGCTACTGCACAGCAATCCTAATTACTGTGCAACTGTATTTCATTCTGCAGCGAGGAACTGATCATTTAAACTCGCATTTAACAGTTTTGTTCTTATGCAAACACATCAAAAAGAGTCCATTAAGTTCACAGATAGTGAAGATGAAAGCAGAGTTAGAATTTTCTCTGCTTTTCAGTTACAATAAAACTACAGGAGGCAGCTGAAATCTCCCAGCTGGGTGAAGCTCAAAGGGCTGACACAGGGCAAGGTTGGTCACCAAGCCCTCAGCAACCCCTTCCTTCCTCCTCTCTTTCTCTCTTGACCCCCTTCATCCTCCCCTTCACCTCCAGAAAGTTCTGCTCCTTGAAACAGTGGAAAATTTTACATTTCCCTCCCAGGAACATTTGTTCAGCCACTGAACTAATAAATGAAACCCTCGGTTCTGCCAGTGCAATTATCTGCATTAGCAACATATTTATTTTTCATCTTTTCTTTCAGTTGTTTTGCCTTTTAATTACCTTTCCTTGTGATTAAGGATAGTCACATTCTAAATTCAATCACCTTGAAGGATAACATAAAATAGTTTAATCTTTTATTATAAAACTCTTACGTGGGATCTGGTGTTGCTGTAATTTTGCTGTTAAGAAATTGCCCTTTTCCCTTGTCTGCTGCTGCCTTGTCTTTTACCTCTGAACAATAAACTGAGGAACAGTCTCAGTTCCAGGATACAAAACATGTACTTTCTGTACCAGAGCACCACAGTTTTTTCCCTCCTGCTGTTAGATTTGTCTTTTTGTCTGATCAACAAAGAAGGAGCTGTCGTTTTTTGAAAGGTACTCTGAGATGAAGCATTTAAAGTACTAAAATACTGGTCAGGTCTCTCATAATTTACAGGAGAACCCTGCAGGATGGTTCACTTTTGGTCTTCATGCAGTGAATACAACAATATAATATTAGTGCTGTGTAAACCTACTATGCCAATGGTCTAAGCCTTTAGCAGGTCACCACAGTTGTTTTTTTTTTCAACTTGAAATCAAAGCTCCTCTGTTTCTTTTCTGAATCTCAGTGTAGACTGTGTTACCCCAAGAAATAACTTGCTCAGAGGCAATTTGTCAGTGCTCTCCACCAACAGATTTTGGGGTTTAGCCCAGACATTGTACTTTTTAATCAGGAAAAAAAATACTTTTTCTCTAGAGAAGACAAGGAGGAGAAGTGGAACACGTTCTGCCAGTACCTGGGGATTTTGGGTGCCTGGTTTGCAGCTCTCTGCTTGTGACACCCTGAGCTGTGTTGGACAACAAAGACATGCTCTGCCTTGTCCTGTGGGCAAGTTCATCAGGGTATTCCCTGAAATCTCTTCCTCCTCAGGCCATGCTACTGACCCCTTTGTTTCTGTTTCTCTCTCAGTTTGTGGCTCACCCCAACTGCCAGCAGCAGCTGCTCACCATGTGGTACGAGAACCTCTCGGGCCTACGGCAGCAATCCATAGCTGTGAAGTTCTTGGCTGTCTTTGGAGTCTCCATTGGCCTGCCCTTCCTTGCCATAGCCTACTGGATCGCTCCCTGCAGCAAGGTACAGCCTCAGTAAGGGGCAGGGGGGGGCTATTTCATCCAGGGTGTGGAATGAATCACGTTTTTTTTCCATCATGTTGCTGGGAAGTGATTCGTGGTACCCTCTGGGGTTGCCCAGGGGAGAGCGAGCCTGAGGTGTGGCTTGACAAAGACACCTGGAACTAACAGGCATGGCTTGAGATTCATCCTTTTTAAAGGTGGGATGGTGGGGAAATAAAGTGGGTGACAAGAAAAGAACAGGAAGAAATGGATAGGAGGCAACAACACAGGAGTGGGGTGAAGAAAGGATAAAAGCCACCAAAATTTGAAATAACTAAAGGAGAAGATCCTCGTTGCTCTTTTAGTGATATTTAAACTCTTGTTACTTTTAGGTACTTTTTGTTGCTGGTTCCTCCCTTCTCCAGGTCTCCTTTCTTCCCTTTCCTTCTCCTTTCTGAGCTTGTGGTTTTAGTTAGTGGAGCATTATTATGGCACTGGGGCCTGAAAGTCTGGCAAGCCCCGGGGAACTTCTTAGTGTTGCAGAGATTAGACTGAATCATACAGTCCTGATGCTTTTGAGAGAAAAGATGATGAAACTTGAAATACTGCAGTGTACCTAAATACAGATCAGATGGAGCAGAAGGGTTTTTGAGACCCAGAGGCCAAAGGACCAGAACCTACCTTTAGTTTAGATAAAGATTATGTGGTGTGGAATGAAATTCGTAGAGGTTTCCATCCTGAAAGAGTCTCCTCAAACAAGTGGAGATAAATAGGTGTATGTCTGAGTGATAAATAAACTACTCTTGCCACAGAAAAAGAAGGTCATTTCACATTCAGCAATAACCAGTAATATCATCCATTACAAGGTAGACATCTTCTGCAGGAGCCTTATCACAGGTATTTAAATTTGATCAAAGTGACCCTGGCACTGATAATATATTCAGTCTTGAAAATATTTTCTCATCTTTCCTCTAAAAAACCAGTGAGGAATCCTTTCTTAATTTATCCAGCCCAAAAAATTATAGATCCATGACCAGGTATTAAGGAAAGGCTATAATTTGAAAAGATTTATATTAACACAATCAGAAAAACAGTCTTTCAGGATGTCCAAGATGATAAAAATTTTTGGTCTCCAAAATAGCTCCAAGAAAAGTACTTTCTCTTAGAGCAATTGGCACTGCAACTTCATCTCCTCAAGGTTTGTACCAGCACAAAGCCCCTCATCTTTCATGAATCACAGACAGGACCCCAGAGTTGCACAAAGAGATGTTTGTGTGCAAGCTGGGCTGTGCTAAGGGTGGTTTGGGCTGGGTTGTAAAGGGAATGAATGTGTGGAATTACCACGTGGATTCACTCATGGCAGAGAGTGAATCTAGCAGGGATTTAGGAAGCTGTTTAATTTCCTTCACCTCTGTTGAATGTGCTGGGAGTTGGCAAACCAGCCAACAGCAGCATTTGTGGTGCGTTCTCAGAATTACAGAGGTCACATTTGAATATAGCAACAGGTGGGAAGAACAATTAGACCAGAAATAAGTGGAGAATTTAAATGAAAGGCATGAAAACTAAGGAGAAATAAACTGAGGTTAAAAAATTTAAAAATAAAATGGTTATCAAACAGAAAAAAAAGAAATTCCTGAGAAAGTTATTTGTATTTAATTTCTTGAGGTAGGTTTGTTGAAATTAAAAATGGAGGGGAGGGGATTTAACTTCTCATCAGCCTTGATTTCATTACACCAAACCTTTCATGCATTCTCACTTTTCAGTGTTCCTTTCTTTTCACCTCACTTTAGACTGTGAAAAACAACACGTAACTTTCTAGCACAGAGTCCAATTGATATTTCTTTCAGGCAGGGACTGTCTTTCAATGCATAGATTTGCCTTGATCAGAACAATGGAATCTTGATTTTTTGATTGTGAGAGAAATAACTGAATAACAAATGCATTTTTCCCTCCTGAACTGGTACCTCTCCCTAAATCATCATTATTAAGTTCCATGGGGGCTGATCCATGAGCTTTGGATCCTCTCAAGGTGTAAATGCAGAAAATTTCCCATAGGCAGCAGATCCACTGAAAGGATGGGGGTGTTAGAGATGATTTGTGTGTGATGCAGAGGATTTGTGATTCTGAGCAGACCAGTTTTGTCCTGGCCAACTTTACAAGCGTTTTACTTGGTTTTAATTGATGCAAACAATCGTGATACACAGCTGGGTAATGAAACAATTTTTCCATAGTAACAATCAGTTAAGATATTTGACTTAAATCAGGCCTGTTTCAAAAGACACACTGATGCCCAGGAATGAGTCAGGGATTAATTTCTGGACTAAGGCAGTGAGAAAAATGAGGGAAATCTCTGATGAGGAATACTGCTTATGGGAGCTGTCCTGGCCAATACTTCTGTGTGTCACATTCTTAAGATGATCAAATTCTGCAGTTCCACATAGAATAATAGAGGAATTCATATCTCAAAATAATTCCTTCCCTCATGTATCTTAGCAAGAAACTTGTTCTCAAACCTTTCCTCCCTAGCAGAGAATTTTCTTTAATAAAGCTCTGTGGGGTTAGACTGGACCATAACAAATACCCCCTCAAAAACTTGGTAAATAAACAGTATTGACTGGGGTTTGCAACTCAGCTTTAAGTGTTCTTTTGCATTCAGTTGCACAGAACTGTCTACTTTAAAACCAGTTTTAGTGTCAGTCATTCATTCACCTCTGGGTGCACAAACTGTTGACAAGAGCCATGAAGTTTAAGCCTGTCCTGTCCTGAAATGTCCAGGTTGACTCATCCACCTCTTTTAGGCCATGACTCTTGAAATGAAATGTTAGTCTCTGAAACCTTTTTCATTGGTGATCAAAAGAGGAGATAAAAGATTGCAACAGAAAAATTGTACAGTCTGTTGCCTGAAAATACAATGACAAGGGCTCTACTTTTAAAATATTTCCTGTTCCTCAGTGACCAGAGAGCTGGGCTGCTTTGAACTAATCTACTCTTAGAGATAAATAAAAACCCAAGGAATTTCCTTTTTCAGTCTTTTTTTTCACATTTCCTATGAAGTTTTATGATTAAGTCAGTAGATATTAAGAAAAATTTGGTGATACCTTGCCACCAAGGGGAATTTGCTTTGAGGGATGTTTGCAAAGGGCCCATCCAGGACAGCTCTTCCATTGCTCCCTGTCGTGTCCAACACCACAGGCTTCAGTCCCAGTGCTCCTAAAAATGCTTCCACTCTGACATTTTTGGGAGTACTGCTTTTTTTTTTAGTTCACAGAAAATGTAAAATTAAAAGAGTGGTATTTAAATTCATTGACAAAGAAAGCCTCTCAAGAAAAATGGAACAAATATTATCTGTAGAGAAGAGACCTGCTGCTCTGGTTCTTGGCTTAATGTCCTGAAATAAATCCTTGTGTTCTGGGAGTGATTCCCCAGATTTTGTACTAATTATGAGAGAAGATTATCAAAGCAAAGCATATTAAAAGCGTTGCTAGAGAATATTTAAACAGAAAGCTGTTTCTAACACATTGATAATGAAGTAAGAATTCACTATTAATAAAAGATTCTGATATATAACAGTGATTTAAGGGTGAGAATTGGGTCCATCACTAGGATTTATAATGACAAATAAGGACATTCATACTCACATATACAAACAAACATGTCTCTCATATAAATGTCCTGTCTCTTCATCTTCCACCCTCCATATGGCCAGGACAATTAGATGTTACATGTGGGTTTAAAGGAGCAATATAAGATAAAAAATTATCCAGTCCATAATGTCTAGTAATAGCAAACAACAACTGGAACAAATCTAAACCCTATTTACTTAATGATCCACAATTAAGTTCTGAATCCTTTTCACCTTGGGCAAACCATAAAAACTTTTATGGGAAAAAATTCAAACGTTCACATATATATATATATATGAATAGAATAATATTCAAATTTTACAGGAAAAAAACTTCCAGGAGGTGGATAAATTAAAAAAAAAAAACAACAAAAAAACCAGTTAAAATCTTCTGTGTTTTTTGTGTTCCACTGCAGCTGGGACGGACCCTCAGAAGTCCCTTCATGAAGTTTGTGGCCCACGCAGTTTCTTTCACAATCTTCCTGGGGCTGTTGGTGGTGAACGCCTCGGATCGGTTCGAGGGAGTCAAAAATCTCCCCAACGAGACCATCACGGATCACCCCAAACAGATCTTCAGAGTCAAAACAACTCAATTCTCCTGGACAGAACTGCTCATCATGAAGTGGGTGCTGGGTAAGTCAAACCAGACGTCTGCAAGCCCTCGGGGGAAATTTGAGCTCTTTAGGAATAACATGACAAAGGAAAAGGAGGAAAAAAAAGCAAACCTGACCAAAAAACCAAACTAAATAAACAAACAAAAAAAAAATACCCCCAAACCAAGAAAACTCCCCAAAACTGAAAACAAACCACCATAAGCCTAGAGGTTGATGGCAGAATTTTGATTAAAAGAGGATAAAAGTTGTAATTTTTGTCCCTGCTTTTGAAATTATTGAAGGACACTTGGCAAATTCTCACTTCCCTGATTTTCCATTTTCCATGGTAAATGCTATAGATGTTGCCTGTTTGCCTCTGTTGGTTTAATCATTGCATTTTAAAGAAGGTAATATTATAATAGAAAGTTGTAGCCTCAATCTAGGATGTTGGTCCATCTTAAGTGAGCAGAAGAAAGCATGGGGAGCCTGCCTGATTTATTACCCTGGGATCCTATTATGATCCTATTACAATTCACTGAACCTCAGCTGTTTTGTCTGCAAAATGGAAATAATGTTATTGGCCTTTTTTTTTGCAATGCACTCTGAGATCTAGTGATGAAAACTGCCAGGCAAGTAAGAGTTGGATTTTATGACATCCCCAGTGAGAAATTCTTGCTGGTGAGAGGACAGCACAGAGCTCAAATCTTTTAGAAGAAATTAAGTTATTCAACAATTATAAAGTAAGGATTCGTGTGGGTGAACACATCAAGTGCAAAAAGTATGTCACAGGCACAGGTTAAATTTCCAAGGAGTTTTAGGCAGATCCAGATGTATTACTTTTCCTCCAGGCTTCATTTATTCCTGGTAGATCAGTCAGCTTGAACCACTAATCTAAACAAGCTCAGGAGGATTTATTGGGAAATTGAGCTTATCAACTGTGCAGAATCTTTCTCCACCTCTTTTATATCTATTTCTGCTCACCACCATGATTCGGATTCTTTTCTTGCAGCAAATAATTCCACTGTTCCATAAGTACTGATGGCATTAAATCCCCTGAAAAATAGGATAGGGCTGCTCTATCTGATGACTTCCTGGCCACTGTTTCTTTGTTCCCTGTCCCTGCAATAATCAGAATCCCATGCAGGATATTAGGCTGGAAAATACTGAATAGATGCCAGACTGGATAGAGTAAGCCTGTAAGACATATTTTTAAAATGATATTAAAGCAGTTGGACAAGATGATTAGATTTTAGACTAGGTATTCTTTCCTTATAGGCAGTAGGTATCCATCTGCTTGGTGAGTTCCTGAGAGATGAAGAAGAAAACATTTCATTTGAAGCGAAGGTTTTCACTTTTCTGAGAGAAGAAAAGTGATTCATTGTCCAGACTCCTGAGTATAATGAGATTTTCTAATGACTGCCTACATCTGCTCTGACAATCTGCTCTGGCCATTTTACCTGCCTGCCTACAGAAAACTTCAAACAATGGTTCAGCCATCCTAGAGGTGAAAGTTTGGTGCAGATGGCTCAAAGCTGGCACAGGGACTTGGGCACTTGTTGAGCCCCACGTGTGACCTTGAACTTTAAGGACTGTGAAAGCACTGAGGGTGGTGACTGCCCAGGCTTTTGGTGCTAAAAGCTTATAGGTATTATAAATATTTATAGGTAGGTAGAAATATAATTAAATAAAAGTGGCTGACATAGATCGACTTAGTGGCCTTCTGTGATGGAGTGATCATGTAAGGGGATGAGGGAAGGGCTGCAGATGTCATTTAACTGGATTTCTGTAAAGCCTTTGGCACTGCCCCCCACAACATCCTTCTCTCTAAATTGGACAGAGATGCATTTGATGAGTGGACTATTAGGTGGATTAGAAAGTGGTTGGACAGTCACATCCAGAGGGTGCTGATCAATGGCTCAGAGTCCTGATGGACATCAGGGACCAGTGGTGTCCCTCAGGGGCCCATACTGGGACCAGTGGGATTTAATATCTTCATTGACAAAGGGATCTAGTGCACCCTCAGCAAGTCTGCAGCTGACACCAAGCTGAGTGGTGAGGCTGACACACCTGAAGGATGGGATGCCATCCAGAGGGACCTGGACAAGCCCCAGAAGTGGGCCCATGGGGATCTCGTGATGTTAACCATGACCAGCTTCCCCCTTTGTACATGGGGCACAGCAATTCTGGCTCATGTATCTGGGACTTGTCTGTGTCTCCCCTGTGGCCAGGTCTTCCCTTCCCTTGCCTTCAGATGAGGAAGGCTGGGATTTTCCTGGTGAGTGGTATGGACAAAGTGTGTGCTGAAAGCAGGGAGGTTTTATTGCAAGAGGCAAAATCCCCACTGCAAAAGCAGCCAGGGTAGCAGTTGGACTCTGGATAGATGCAGTCTGAACACTATTAATCTCTTAATCCAACAGCCTTTGGTGGATGCAGGAAGGCTCAAAGGCATCTCTGCAGCATCAGCTGCTCCTGATTTATGTCCCAGGCCAGCAGATATAAAATCTGACAAACTGCTCCTCTGTGCACAGGTGGTGAGCAGCACTTCTTGCATACTCCCATTTTTCTTCCAGATGGGCTGTGCCTGTAGCTTAACTCTCCTTCCTCTGCTGAAACCAGACCTGCTCATCAAGGTGACATTTCTGATCATTCCTGCTGTGGGGGGAATAAGAGACATGCAGGAGCTGGAGAGCAGGAGCTGCTCATATCCCACATCTCCGTGCATCAAACTCAGGGAAATGACCTCTGGCAGAGCCTGTGGGGGCCTCAGAAACACCACATTTAAAAGACATCCTGGCAGAGCTGCTTTACCTACTTGCCTTCCCTTATTTCTTGCATCCCACCTTATGTCCCATCTCCTGAATTTTAGCTGCTTTTTCTCTTCTCAGTACTTTTACTTAAGGAGAAGCTTTGAAATACTCTCTCCCCATGTATATACAATTATCCAGCAGTACTGACTGAATAATTACTGGAACTTTTCTGCTTGTCCTTAATAGACATTTTTAAAACATGATTGCCACACAGCTGGCAAAAGGAATGATTATAGGCCAATAGTGTGATACTTTCACTGAGTGATTCTAATTTTAGTCAGTCCACTCAGTTTTAGACACTTCTTACTCCATTAATCTGTGACTTAGGTATAGTAAGTGAGCAAGATTAGAAATAAATTTGGATGGGAGACTTAATATTTCAACCAGAAAAGTCATTTCTGGTCATCAGAGGAGGAGTGCTTTTTTGGGCAATGCTACCACGTGGTTTTTCCTGGAGAGCTTTAGTACCTTTACACGACACACACGCGTCACACGCAGGGCTAATGGCTCCTATCCATCATCCCAGGGAATTTAAAAAGCATTTTAAAGCTGGAAATGTTCCTTTAATATTTCATCCTCGCTCCAGGAAAATTCCTGAGAAACCAATTCTTCCACCTGCTCCCTGAGGCTGTTTATTATTAAACCTTGCTCGTGCTGAGTGACAGTTTGGGATGAAGTTCCTGCTTTTACTCAGCCAAGCACCAGCAGAGGTTCCTCTGCTGCCCTGCCTCTGCTCAGCACTCAGATCTCTCCCAAGAAAGATCTATACAGGGCATAACCTATGTCAGGACACATCTCCAGGGACATTCCAGGGCTGTGAAGGTCACAGGCTGGCTGTGCCTTGGCTGATGGGGGTGTGGAAATCTTTGCTTTCCTTTCTCTCTTTAACTCCTTCCCTGTGCTGAGTGCTGAGCAGAGGGAGGGCAGCAGAGGAGCCTCCCAGCTCCCCTCCTCAAGTCCCCAGCTGCTGCTTGACTGAGTAAAAGCAGGAACTTCATCTCAAACTGCCACTCACCATGAATAAGGTTTAATAATAAATAGTCTAAGGAAGAGGGTGGAAGAATTGGTTTCTGAGGCTCTCTCCCAAGATAGATCTGTACAGGGTATAACCTGTATCAGGGTACATCTCCAGGCACCCACCTGGAGACTCCAGGGCTGTGGAGGTCACAGGCTGGCTGTGCCTTGGCTGATGGGGGTGTGGAAAGCTCGGCTTTCCTTTCTCTCTTTCAATCCTTCCCTGCACACAGGGACTGACAGCAGCAGCTCTTCACTCCTCCACCCTCCGGCTGGATTCCCACTGACCTGTTTCCCTGCCTGTAACCCAGCTTTCCAGTGCCCCTCCTGGGACACCCTCTGCTTCCAGGAGTCTCAGAAGTAGCCAAGCAATTGTATTTCTGTGCCACACCACGACAGCTTCCAGTAGAGAGGATGAAAGGAGTTCACAAGAAGGAGAAGATTGCAGGAGGCCACATGGAAATCGGCAGGCGCTGCTCCTTCTTGATTAAACCAGAATTTTGCTGCTGCTATGGAAACAGGGCTGGGGAGAGTGCAGGAAATATTTATCAGTGGGTTAAATATTCCAGCACTTTATCTATTCAGGAGCAGGGTTTGACCCTGGAGCCCTGCTGTGATTGAAGGTTGGGTAAATTAGTGAATCTGCCCTGAATTCTTGCCCACTGAATTCACCTGTCTGCCCTAGCACTTCCCAGTAGGAGATAGATGTCAAAACATTTGAACTCACTGAATTTGGCATTTACAGGTTTATCTGTAAGTCTGTTGTCAGAAATCCTTAATTCGGGCTAAACTCAGTGTTTAAAGTGGTAGATCAGAGCTTAATGTATGGAAAATCATTATTTAATTCCAAAAGCTTTATGAAAAGTATTGCAAGGGCAGAACTTCTGTCTTACCCTTTCTTTAATCACACTGAACTTAATCCTGGATCTTTTCTCTTGCACAGCTCTGTTTGCATTCTCAAAATGAACCCACCCACTTCAGGGAAGGAGAAAAACAGGAGCAGGGTGAGCAGTGCCATCTTCAGTGGCACCGTTTGGCAAGAAGATTTTGGGGACAAGAGAGGAAATCCACATTTTCCCCAAATATAGCAGCAACAGGATTTTCTAGTGTCATCAGAATTTCTGAACTGTGCTTTCTGTCATCACCAGAAATCATCTTTGCCATTGACTTATATAGTGATATTTTGAAATTTCTGCCTCATAAGCACAAGAGGACACGTGAGCTAAAACTTTGAAAGAATTTTTAAGAAAAGGTGGCATGAACCATTGTCAAGAAATTCAGTTTAATTAAAGAGTTATTTGCTTCAGTTTTAGAAGCCACTGCTGGCTAGGAAAGAGGTCTGTCTGAACACAACCACACCTTCTGTGTCTGAACATACACACATCTTCTGTTAAACACCTCCTGTCCCCTCCACAGGTATGATCTGGTCAGAGTGCAAGGAGATCTGGGAAGAGGGGCCACGGGAATATGTGGTGCATCTCTGGAACCTGCTGGACTTTGGGATGCTGTCCATCTTTGTAGCATCATTCACTGCCAGGTTCATGGCTTTCCTCAAAGCCTCTGAAGCACAACAGTACGTTGACCAGTACGTTCAAGATGATGACCTCAACAACGTCACCCTTCCCCCTGAAGTTGCTTATTTTACCTATGGTAAGGTGCTTTTTGTTCTCTAATACTTCCCGTTCTTTTAGGCTAATGTGTGGCAGTGCTGAAAGCAGGTTTCTTTTGGGGATATTTGTGTGGTTTTTTTCTAATTAAACCAAATTATTCTTCCCAAGTCTACCCATTCCAGCCATCTTCCTAAACAGTCAGAAAGGATCTAAACCTCACTCAGTCTCTGATACTGTCCCAAGTCTACATTCAGGTCAATCACATCCTGAAAAAGCAGCTTGAGCAGCAGATAATCAGGAACTGGGAGGGAGCAGAGTATAATTTGCATTACAGATGAAGTAACCTGCTTGGTTTTCCAAATGTGAGAGGAGGGAAATGTGTGAATAAATATAGAATGTGGGGCTGCATCTCTAACTGCCGGTGCACTCTGCGCTTCTGTTACATCCAACACCTGTATAATGGAAATAAAAATAGCAATTACATCCATAAGCTGCTGCTCTTCAAAACCTGTATTTTTGTAGAGCCTAAATCATCTGTAAGTGCTAAAGCAGCAGCAGTGCCTGGACAACATTGTTTTTGATAGCTGAAATGGTTTTTCTTTGCTGTACAGTGTGGGGACTGGATCCACTGCACCCCTCTGCAAGCTTTACTTGTCACCCTGAGCAAACCCCAGGAGGATTTTTGCTCACAGGAGCTCCAGAGATGGGCACCAAGGAACACCATTTGCTCCCTAGAGCTGTAAGGTGGTTGTTCCAGTGATGTGCTTGTACTGGAGAGGGGGATCTGAGGCAGCAGACTTCATCCACTGTGCTCCACACAGCACTGGGGACATGAGCCCTCACCCCACAGCCTGGTGGTCCCACCAGCTCAGCCCCTTCTTAGTGTGTCCCCCCTGAAGGGAAACATCCCTCCTTCTGCCCAGGTAAGAGAGAGGCCATGGAGATGATGGATTTTTTCCCTCTCTGGTTTGCTGCCGATCCATTTAAAGCGAGTTCATGACCCAAAGGTGCAAAGAACAGAATATCACAATGAGATCCTGTGAATTTCTCTGTCTGCTGCTTTTCCTTTGGTTCAGATTTTGCTGCAAATAATGTCTAAGTTTACTGCTGTGGCCCTAAAGATGTCACATGTTTTAGCCCTGAGCCACAGTCTTTTCATCAAGAAGCTCAGTTGATGCAGGGTTGCTCATAAGCCATATTAATATAAATGTTCACATTTTCAGTAGATTAAGTAAATGATGCATATCTGGTGTCAACAAGGAGCTTTTTTAGGCAAAAATATTAGAGTGACTAGACTGCAAGAACTGGTTTTAATGTAAAGATAACATGAAAATTATACCTTTTTATCTGTATTTTATTATACATTTTATACATATTTATATATATATATACATATGTATCTGCTTTACCCGAACAAATCCTAACTTTCTTATCCAGTGGTGGGGATAGAGATCTCAGTCTCCCTTCCCAAATACTGACACAGTGCCCTGTATAAAATCTATAGCTAGACTCCACTGCGTTGTGCTTTTGGTTGTCCATCTCAAGAGCTTCACGTGGAAAAGGCACAGCACAGTTGCCATGCTATTTTTTTGCTGTGTGGCTTCAGTGAATCCCAGTGACTTGTTCATTTCTCATCTTTACCATGTGAAAAATGCAACTAACTCACTAATTCTCCAACATGCTGAGGACTTCAGCACACAATTGTTCCAAAGCTGGTTTTTTGTCTTTAACTCCAGGCCAAAGCCAAGATTCGGTGCAGAAAAGGGTCATTTATGGTGATAGCTTCCACCTACCACTCTTTGTTACTAACAGCCCGTGTCCATGTATTGTTTTAGCCAGGAACAAGTGGCTCCCCTCGGATCCCCAGATCATTTCAGAAGGCCTGTATGCCATAGCTGTGGTACTCAGCTTCTCCCGCATTGCTTACATTCTTCCAGCCAACGAAAGCTTCGGCCCCCTGCAGATCTCCCTGGGCAGGACTGTGAAGGATATCTTCAAGTTCATGGTCATCTTCATCATGGTGTTCCTCGCCTTCATGATCGGAATGTTCAACCTTTACTCCTACTACCTTGGTGCAAAGTACAACCCCGCGTTCACCACGTGAGTAGCTGTGGGGAGAGCGGCTGTTCCTGCTGCTCCTGTCTCGGGATCTTTGGGAACTCGGCTCCAAACATCCTCCTCTTGTGTTTTAGGGAGATGTTCCTCAAAAAGCCCAGCTGATGTTCCTTGCAACCTGTGCCAAATCTCGTGCGGTTTCGCAGGAGTCTAAAAGGGGGGAAAGGCTCAATCCCTTCTGGGCCGTTGCTGGTGCTCTGGTGGTTTCTGTTGGGGGGAAAATCACACCCAGATTTTGACAGGGAAACTCGTCCCACAGCTCCAGCCCTGGCAGCCAGCCCTAGGCCTGAGTGTAGGGAGCCGAGTAAGTTCAGAAACGGTTCTTTCTAGAAATCAAAATAGCAGGTCAGGAAAATGTTTTGTGAAGATGCTCAGTTCAATGTGTCAAGAGATGCAGTGGGGAAGAAGTTAAACCTAAGATTATTGTTCTTAAAACTGCAAGGTGAAATGTATGTAAAATAAGGGAGGATTTTGCTTCTCTGAGACCCAAGGCCATGGGTTCAACCCCCATATGGGCCATTCACTTAAGAGTTGGACCTGATGATCCTTGTGGGTCCCTTCCAACTCAGAATATCCTGTGATTCTGTGATCTGTTTTAGGACATCACCTGAGTGCAGCTGTGATTGTTGGGTGCACTTCTGCAGAGCCAGCTGCTGAGTTATGGTGCTCAGAACAGAGCAAAACAAACCAGGGTGTCTGGGGTGTGGTTTCTAAGTCCTGCCTGGGAACTTTTCAGCAGAGGCCATGTGAAAGCTCTGTGCCTTAGGGACACAGTGGGGACTTTCCTGCTTGTCTGTGAGGGAAAGCCTGGCATAATGTTTTCCCCTTTCTGTGAGCTGACTTCCAGGAAACCACCCCAGAGCTGCAGTGCCTGAGCCCACGGTGGTTTCCAGGTACAGAGCAGACATTTGATGCTGCATTTGATGTGTCAATTCTCTGACATGTTAGACAGAGAGCTTGGGGCTTAGCTCATCACTCCTCTAGGAGAAAGGGCCTTTTCAGCATCATTTCTGTCCTGCAAGTGGCTGTTGCCTTCCAGTTTCACCACACCACCCTCTTGGGCCACATGTAACCTGTAACATTACATTTGCTTCCTCTAGTCGAGCCAAATATGCCTCCCAGGCCTCTCCTGTAGCCTCAGGGGGCATTTTAATGGAAGGATTTATGAGGCCAGATGCATTTACATTTATCTGTGCTCAGTGGTGAGGGAGAAGAAAATTGAGTGTGTGGACTGTGACTTGCTTCAGATTTGAAGAGAAGGAGATGCCCTTGAAGCATAAGACTTAATGAGAAGTTGAGTCACTGCCATCCCTGCCTGCCTGGTGGCACAGCAACCCTCACTTGTGGTATCCCCCAGGCACGTCACTGACAAATTCCAGTCTCTGATACAATTCTACACAGTAACTCTCTTATTAGTACTCATTAGCTAAGTGGATCTTCCAGGAGTTGCCATCATTTGATTGAAATAATGAGCAAATGTTCACTAAAAATGATGACTGCTCAGTGGAGTAAAGATTGCTTAAATGCCCAGGGGATATTTGGGCAGGGGAGAGCTCTTCCTCCTTAACTTCAGCCTGCTGACTACTTATCCCAGAGGGACTTGGTGTTGTCATAAAGCAAATTTTCCACGAGCATAAATCTTTCTTTTTAAGAATTTGGAAGAGATTTTAAAAATACTTACTTTCTTCTGACTATTTAAACACTCGGGAGTGTCAAACGATGATCAGTAAAAACAAGCCCTTTCATCGTGTGAAACAAAGAGAATAGATTTACATTCCTCCCGAAAATCCTTCTTAGACATTCCATTCAGCAAGAAGCCCCCGGGGTAGACAGTCTCAAACAATTTTAATAAGCTAATTACAAGGTTATTTTGGCAGATGGGCAGCCACCAGCTATAGTAATGTTTCCTCTTCTATTTTTTGTGGCTGTCTGTGGGCCTTGATGAGGGTTGTGGCTCCTGCTACCATTAACTCACACGTGAAAAGGAGGAAGATTTCAGTATTAGTGCTAAAAAAGGAGCTCAGCTGCTCATTCCCTGAAAAATCACCAGGGCTAAGAAGAATGTTGCTTAGTTTGGTGTCCTCACAACCCCTCTGTGACTGTGACTTCAGCGACGTCGCCGGATGCGTTTCCTGGGGGTTGTTTGGGAATTCTAATGAGGATGGGTGACATTTTACAGCAAGCAAGTTTGGCCCTGAGAAATGTGACTATTTGACTGTGGGACCTGATTCTCAGAGGTCACTTGGGTAGCTGTGACAGAAGAAGACCCCGTGGATTTGGGCATTTCGTTGACTGTGGCAGCTTCGAGGGGTGTTGAGTCGACACCTCCCTGGATGGGCCCAGTGGGAACTCTTGGACAAAGAGCTGCTCACTAAAATAACTCCAAATTACACTTTTATGAAAACCACACCTTCCCAGGACAGTATGTAGGCAGAAAAAAGAGTGTACTTTTGTGCAGATCACACTCAGAGGGAATTGCTTGCTTAGTTAGTGAATGTTTGGTGCAACTTGACTTTCACCTTTCCTTGCTATTACATTTCTGAAATCCTGCTCGATTTCTCTTCTGTTGTCACATACAGAGCAAGAATGTAGCACCCCAGTGGCCTCTGAATCGAGTTATTACACAAAGTTTCTCTCATTTCTTCCATTTTGATGTTCTGGATGCAAAGGAAATAAAAATGTAGCGGGCTTTACTCCACACAGCTAAATATGGAGATTATTTACCTTACTGTGGGACACTTTCAAAAATTTTTGGAGGTTCTTCCATGCTGAAGATCAGACCATTTCCACCCCCAGCTATGTTTATCTGTTTATCATATGCTGTGTACAGCACACAGCTCTTGAAACAGCCTGTAATTAAGAACATGCCATGCAAACAAAATCGAGATGGAGGCAAGGCTGATTGTGTTCCTCTTGCTTTGTGCATCACAAATCAGGCTGAAGGCTACAACACCAGGCTTTCTGTCTCCCTCTCCCCAAAGGGAAATGTGACTCACTGTTCAGAGCCAATGCTGCTTCCAGGCTTGAAGGCTTTTTTCTACTTGTTTTGCTTTGTCAAAATGTGATAGTTTTGTAGATTGTATTGGCTGCACTGCTTTTTTGGCAGTGATAGTTCTCCAGCTCATTTAAGGAAATCAATCTGAAAGGATGCCTTAAGCTTTCTTAGAGAGGAGGGCACAAGACTGACATGAAATCATAGCCTTGCTGTGATCTTTTTTGATAACAGCACACTGCTCTTTACAAAAGTGAGGAAAATCTATAACTAGCTTATTGCCTATGGTCTGTTTTCTTCCTTGATGCAAAATCTTGAGGTTTTACTGAACTGTGAGTTCTGAAACAGACAAACAAATAGAAAACTATCTCAGTTGTCTCCCCACTGCAACAGTTGGTTCTCTCACAGCAGAGGGAGATTGCAGCAAACCCACCTCCCCAAGGAGCATCAGTCAATCTGTCACTGCCAGACCCTCCTGCTGCCAGGAGCTGTCAGTCTGGGCAGGACTCCTGACTTCCTCCATCCCGTCTGTCTTTGGGAAGGATAAAACACCAGCTGACCTCACAGGAAGGGGGTAAATTGCTTATCTGGCACCGACAAGACACATCTTGGAATCTTTGGGAGCTTGGCTCCAAACATCCTCCTCTCATGTTTTAATGAAATGTTCCTTAAAAAGCCCCACTGATGGTCCTTGCAACCTGTGCCAAATCTCCTGGAATTTCACAGGAATTTAAAAGGGAGAAGGAAAGAGCCACCCAGCCTTTTTTGGAGGGTAGGGATGGATTAGTACAAGTCTCCTTAGAAGCATTTCACCTGCAAGAGGGAGTCTTGTGTCTGCCTGGGGGCATTGCTAAGCACCAGTTTGGGGTGGTACAGGTCAGGTCAACCTCTCCACCACCTTCCCAGTTCCACTCACCTGACCCTGGAGATGAGGGCTGTGGACATCACACAGGAACCTGCTGCTCTGGCCTTTGTGGTGCTCAGGGTGGTCAAGGCTGCTCACAGTCCTCAATTAACTTTTCAAGGAGAATCTGGCACTGCTGAAGTATAAAGGTTAATGTTTAAGCTGCAGAGAAAGGAGCAGAGCTGACATGTATTAAAATCTGCCAGCAGGGTGGAAAAGCACGGGAACATTTCCAAATGAAAAAGGCAGGTTAATATCAGGGGGGCAGCTGGGCTCGAGGCTGGGGGTTATGGCTTTTATTAGCTTGAAAAATTACTTATAGAATCATAGAACCAGCTGGGTTGGAAGGGACCTCCAAGATCATCAAGTCCAACCCTTATGTGGTGGGTTTCAATGCCAGGGATCTTTGGTGTTCGTGTGTTCTTTAGCTGGGAAGAACAACATTTTTTGAATGGCCAGATTGCTGCCACAGGGTGAAGGGAAGGGGACACATTAATGCCAGGTCAGCTCTGCTGCAGGCCAGGGCAGGACACGACAGCAGAGTGGCACAGGAGGGGAAATGTCCAGCAAGGGGAGAAGTGGTGGCACCTGTTTGCAGCCCACAGCTCATCCCACAATGTCTCTGCAATCCTGCAGAGCAACCAGGGGGTGTGAGTGCGGTGTCTGTGACTCTTGGGATCATTAGGATGGAGGAAAAAAACACATTTTAAAGGCAGTGGTGCAACATCTGTTCCAAACATCACTGAAGGTTACCCCTCACCGGTCAGTGCAGTTATACATTGTAAATATTACACTGAATACTTACTGCAGTTTTACTGCTGCTTGTAAATGAAATATGGAATACCCTAAATTATGATGGGCACTAAATACCAGTTTGCTGTTGCAGAAAGGAACTGCCCAGCCTTTCAAAGGGTGGAAAATAATTTCTCTTGCTTTCACGAACGGTGCAATAGGTGCTGGAGTTTATGTAAAGTTTATTGTTCCTGTAGGATATGTCACTGTTTGTGTCTATAAGCTGTTGTTATAAACAGATTTAGCAGGATTAGTCTGCCACTCTAGCAAAAAAAACATTTCCTCAAAATAATTTGTCAGTGGCATTGTTTCCTTTCAAGGTGCTTGCTCCTGGCAGGCAGGAGCAGAGAGGAAGCAATTAACTGTTAACAGGCTAAGGATTTCTTGGGAAAGGCAAAATGCCTTCTTAATTAAAAATTAAGCAAACTGCTTTCAAAATGTGCCACATCCCTCCTCCTCCTTTCCTTCCTCTTCAGCTGTGGCTGCTCCCCTTCTGCCTCTCATAGCCCTGACTCCTTGGATCAGACTCTCCTTTTGACCTGGCAGTGTAGCCACATTCTTTCCAGCCCCACTTCTCTTTCTCGTTGGTTTATTCCCTTCTCTTTTTCCTGTCTTTTATTTTCCTCTGATTCCTTTCTACTTTCAAGCAAGGATAATAATAAAATCAAAATACCTCTCTGCAACATCTTCTACCACTCTTTATTTTCAATTTTTTGCTACAACTGCTTGGGTGTCTGACGTGCTTGCAGTCCAAAGCAGGATGGGAAGAAAACCAGGTTATGGTCTGACTATATTTGCACTCTGTGTTCTTTATATTAATGCCACAAATCAGAACTTTCCAGTCCTCTCTTCTGCCCTGGAAACTTTATATAAAGAGGTCAGACTCTTCTGTCTTCTCTGGATGAGAACAGAATGAGTGAGTAGAAGCAAAAAGCCCTACATAAAAAGTTTCAACCTGCAAGTTTCCCATGGAATTGTTGTCCTTAATAAGGACACAAAATCCATGTGACAAATAATGCACCTGATAAGAACAGATGGAGCAAATCAGGGGACACTGGACCTTTGTAGCATTAATCAGAAATCATATTTCTTTATCAAATGAGGAAATATGATTTGGCACATCCCTGGGTGATGGATAATGGGCTACCACAACTGTGCCAAGACATATATTTATATTAGTGTATTGCTGCTTTATTATTAGTACCTGGTGCCAACCCTACAAAGCGACTGTTTGCTTTATTTTCAGGGTAGAAGAAAGTTTTAAAACCTTATTCTGGTCAATATTTGGCTTATCTGAAGTGATATCTGTGGTGCTGAAGTACGACCATAAATTCATTGAGAATATTGGATATGTGCTCTACGGAGTCTATAACGTGACCATGGTGGTGGTGCTGCTCAACATGCTAATAGCCATGATCAACAACTCCTATCAGGAAATCGAGGTAAGAAAAGAAATTAGGTTACAAACTCAGTGTGCTTAATTATCACTGATAATGAACATGCTAAAACAAACAAACAAGGAAGCTGTAGCTTATTTCGTATCCAAGATTAGGATTCTGACCACACTGTGCAAGAGTTGAGGCTGAGTCTGTCCCCAGATTATAATTGAATTAATCATTAACAGTGAATCATTTCTAGACCAACTTCAGCTTCCTTGTTTTTAATGACCCTCTGTGAGTAAACACAATTTCCCTTACATGTATTTAATGAAAGTGGTTCGTGGTATTTTTTATTCCCTGTGTTGGCTGTGATAACTTCTCCAAATGTGTGGCCTTAACTGCATTGTTTGCTTATAACAAAATAATATTTCATTTGGCTTTTTGCCCTGTTCTCTCTTTTTGGCCTGTTAAACTCTCCAGCCCATGTAGAACTGAAGCTCATGTATATATATTTAAAAATTCCATGTTTTCCAACTACCAAGCACACAAAATTGATTCAGATGGGGTTTTTTGGGGGTTTTTTGGGGTGTTGTTTGTTTGTTTGTTTGTTTGTGGGGTTTTTTTGGTTGGTTTTTTGTTTTTTTTTTTTTGGTGTCTCTGGGTCTGAAAATTATAACTGCCTGGACATTCACAAAAAACAACTTTTAAAGCATATAAACAGAGCCCTCAAGGAAAAGGAATAGTTTCTCAGAAAGGCATTTGCAGGGTTTACCCAGCCTGGCTCAGTAGTGTGGCTGCTGGCAGAGTGGGTTTTGCTAAATGCTTTAGACATAAACAACTCTCTGCTATTCTAAATAAAGGCAGAAAAAAATACATTATTTGGAGAATGTTAATGTTGAGTCACCTCTTACTTCTGATTTGTTAAATGTCAAACTTCTGCAGTTGGGTTTGTATTAATTAGTTGTCCTAATCTCCCCTCAGAGCCTGACACTGAAAAAGGCCAGAGCTGAAAATATTTTCTCACTGTAATGTCTGATTCATCCATGCACTGTAGTGCAAATATAACTCAATCCTGTGCGTGCTCTAACAAAGTCTAAATGTCAGGGAGACCTTACATGTGCTCCCTGCCCCAGAATCTTTCCTGCTTGCAGACAGCAGAGCCATTTCTCCAAAGGTTTCTAATCACTTAAGGACAAGCATTTTCCTGAATCTTCTTCATTTTCCTGAATCTTCTTCACCTGAAACAAACTTTACTTCAGAAAGGGTCTCAGCCTCTTGCTGCATTTTCTAGTTCAGTGTAGCAGACAGGGATGCTCTTGAGAGTTTTTGAAGAAAAAAAATCTCTGAAAATACCTGAATAGGTGGCCTATATTAACTTTCTAGTCTAACCTTCGTGATGAGCAGTTCCCTGGCAAAATGCTTTGTCATCCTTCTTGATTGCATGGAAATTTTCAAAACTTGGTTCAAGATTACCTGTAACTATCACCAAGGAAAAAAAATGTGAGCTGCCTGGCCCTGATCCTCCTAACTGAGGAAAAACTAGTGCATCTCCTCCTAATTCACTTCAGTTCCTCAGCAGCACTGAGGTTAAAGACAGTCATACAATCATAGAGTTGTTTAGGGTGGAAAAGACCTTTTAGATCACTGACTCCAACCATTAATCCAGCACTAAACCATGTCCCTAAGTGCCACATCTACATGTGTTTGAATATAGCCCAGGGATGGAGACTGACTGCAGAGAAAGTCCCTTTTGCCACTGTGTTTATCTGAGAGCAGCAAAGTCAGTAGTGACAGAGGATGGACATTTCTTAGGAATTAAATTCCATTAGGGACAGTGGGGACATGATTTGCTTGTCATCTGGAGTGACAAGTCCATGTTCTCCTGCCTTCCATTGAACTTCTCTCTTCAGCTGCTTCTGGTTTTCTTCTGTTTATGCCTCCAGTGCTGGTGTGCCCTGACAAATTTTGCACTTAGGGAAAGAAACATCCTTTTGCCAGCTGTAAAACAGAATTGCTTCCATCAGCAGTACTTCTTAACTGCTTAACAGAAAGGCATTACAACTGTCCACGAGTGATTTAGTCTGTAATTCAGCTTGAGGCTTCTGTGAGGTGGAACCTCAAACCATGAGAAGAGCAAAGGGCAGCAGTGAAGTGAAGACATATTGCTGTAACTGTGACAGAATTAACCTCTGCTGTGTCATGCCAGTTTTTGACTGAGTTTCAGAGCTACAGGGTAATCAGAGGTTATTAATTTCAGCAGAACACAGATGTAAATGAGTATGGGGTGTTGGCAGACCCACACTTCTATTGAAACCATGTGAACCACAGGGAAGAAGCTTTTCAGCAGCTGTATCTCATCCTTTCTTTTCCTGATAGATGGTCCTGACACATGGCCCTGACCATCCTCCAGTATAAATGCCAAGCAGATCCATAAAATATTTGCTAACTTTGCCCTTGTTACTTGGAAGTGATTCTGGCCCACCTTGACAATTCATGAAGGAGATTCACAGGCACTGCATGATGGACTTTTTCTCCACCTTCAGCAGTGACAGGACGTGCACAGGAGGAGAATTAAGGGGTATTGATCTATGGAAAAGAGGACCCATGAGGAAATGAGCTGGTGACAGGAGAAAGCAGTGACCTACCCTGTTCTGTGGGGGATTCCTGGCTATTGAAGTGGTAGAGGTGACAAACAGCTTTGCAGTTAATCACAGACAGTCTGTTGTTGTGCTCACAACAGTTTCTTCTGCTTTCCATGACTCTGTCTGTGTTCTGACCCATTCATTTATCAGCATAGCACAAAGTGCTTGCTGAGACAATTCCTTTGATATCCAAGGAAATAGGAAATAGTCTAATATTTGGAGGACTTCTACTCTCTGTTTATTCATTGCTTTGTTTAAATGTTCCTTTTTTTGAGATTACTACAGAGAAGCCCACAAAGACACGTTTTGGGCAGGGGTCCTTGTTCTGCCAAACAGATTCTGATTCTAGTTAATTCCTAACTGTGTGTTTGTCCTTGTCATAGCTAAATTCCTTCCTATTTACTGATTTGGATGTTGATTTGTTTTTCCCCTCTTGCCTTCCCAAGGAGGATGCAGATGTGGAGTGGAAGTTTGCACGTGCCAAGCTCTGGCTGTCCTACTTTGATGAAGGAAGGACTTTACCTGCTCCTTTCAACCTAGTGCCAAGCCCTAAATCATTTTATTATCTCATACTGAGAATAAAAATGTGCCTCATAAAACTCTGCAAATCTAAGGCCAAAAGCTGTGAAAATGATGTCGAGATGGGGATGCTGAATTCCAAACAACGGGTACGTTTTATCTTCACTTTTCAGCTTCTTTCTGGAAAGGATTCCTGCCAGGGACCTTCTGGAGGGGGTGGCATGGTACAGAGGGAGATCAGGGCCAGCCCAGCCTCTCACTGCACCTCTGCATTGTGTGTTATTTGTATTACATTTCAACCAGAGGCTCCTCCCAAGCTTGTGACCTCATTGCATGAGGTCTGGGCACCAGGGAAGGGCAATTTTTATACAAGCAGGCACTTTGATAAGGGAGTTTCCCAAGGTCGAGGAGAAGGGCAGAAGCAGAGGCACAACCAGGCTCCCAGCTTGTCTGACAACTCAGCCACCCAGCAGGCCTTTATGCCTCTTCAATTCATCCACCTTCCTCAAAGTAGTTTCCAAATTAATTTTACTGTCATTGCAACATTTACTGTCATTACAACATTTACTGCCATTCCAGGTTTGGGAACAAATTTCCAAGCAGGGATTATTAACACTTAAATACCTAAAGCTATATTTAACAACCTCTCTAGTTACATCTGCCTAGTGATGTGTAGCCACTAATGGGGAGATCCTGGCTCAGCATTTGAAATAGAAATTTGCTTTTGAAATGCTGGCTCCACAGCAGAATGATTTCCTCAGCACCAGTGTGTCCACATGGCAAAGCAAGAGAGAGATGCAGGAGTATGCCTGGCATCCAGACCCTTCCCAGGGGAATTAGCCTTGCTCCTCCATGGGGAAATGCCAGAGAAATTAGAGAAAATTATGTTGCCTGTGGAAAATTATTCTCTGCAACACTGTGCAGAGGGGCACTGGGATGAAGCTTCCCCAGCACATAAATTTATGACAAACATATGAAAAATTTATGACAAATCCCACTCCCAGGGCAGGTCCACTTGCTTTGCTTTGGAGAAGAAAACACCAAAAGATTCCCAGGAATTCAGCCACAGCTGCTGCCATTAAATTCTGGGGATTACAGGGTCACAGAATATTCTGAGCTGGAAGAGACCCACAGGGATCATCAAGTCCAGCTCTGAAATGAATGGCCCATGGAGGGATGGAGCTCCCAGTATTATTATTGGGACTCTGGTCAAACAGCTGAGCTGATCTCAGGCTTTTCAAAAATGCAAGGAGGCAGCTTTGCTTGAAAGTGTCCTGGCCTTTATTTAATGTTCTCAGCTCGAGGTGGGCTTGAAAGAAAAGAATGCTGGGAAACCACTCCTGGGGAAAAAGAAAAGCTCTCCAAAATGTGTGGTCTCTTATTTCTTGCAGTCAGGGCTCATGAGAGGTCCTTTAGCCACTTTTAGCTACCTCAAATAATTCAAAAAGATGATATTTTTTAAAATTTAAATTTAAATTAAATTTAAAATTAAATTTTGAAATTTAATTTCTACTTCAAGCATGAACCAAAGTAATAAAATTTTCTCTAAGCCTCTCCTTCCCCAAGCCACATCAGTGAAATTGTCTGGCTTGCCCTTTTTCATGGAACTCATGCAAAACTCATATTTTCCATGGCTTTAACATAAACAATTAAGAGTATCAGTCATTTCTTGCTTGCCTGTTGTTTTTGTTCACAAATCATCTTCAAAAGTCTCTGTAAGATCGTGACACATCTGATGAGTAAGAGAGAAATAGGAAAAAAACATTACACGATTAATCAGATTTTTAATCCAATCATTATATGAATCTTGATTTGAAAAAAAAAAATAATCAGGATCTCTGGTTCATCAGGAAAGAAAAACCCTTAACCAGGGCCTTCCCTCTCTATATAATTGCACATAGTTACAGAATTCTGTGATATCCATTGTCTTCTCTGGGTCTATGATACGAATTAATTCCCTTGAATAAGTAATTTTATTTTTTTTTTTTGTTAGTATTTGGACCAAAAAATTCAGAGGTGGAAAACAGAGTCAAAAAAAACACTTACAAATGTTGTGTGTACTCTCCAGAAAAGTCTCCTTGGAAGCTTCTAGAGTGTTGTGTCCTCTGATAAAAATATGATGGTCTATTTAAAAAAGCACATTTTTTTTTTTTGAGCCAAAAGAAGTAGCAAATGGTACTGCTGTAAAAGGATCAGTGAAAATCAATTGTTTTGAATTTGGTTTTGTACCACATAGACTTGTTTTCTCCAAACACAAGTATTTCTTTTTCTTCCTTTCTTGTGTTCTAAACTGATAACCATCAGCCTCATTAAGATTAAAGTATTTTGTGCCTCTTAACACCTTGT